ACGCGATCTGGCGGGCGCGGCCCAACCGCCTGGCTAACAATGCGATATCGGTGACTAGCTGCGGACACTCCGCCTGGGCCTCGATTGCAACAGTTACGTCAGTCAAGCACTCCAGAGTGGTGTCACATAATTGGTGCCGAAGGCAAACCACGCAGAACCTTATCCCGCCCATACTCTTGAAGGACCGAAGCGCACGACGTACATCCTCGAGTGTCGGGCGAGGAGGGCGAGCCCCAAGATCCACAGGTCAGTTCATGATGGGGTGGTCAGCCCAGCTTCCACCATTTAATATACGTAGCTTGCAGTTCGCCTATCTCCCCCTGCTGGCTGAGGGGCCTGTAGGGGACCTCGGGGTCGATGGAGCTCCCCGAGAGACATCGCATGCAACGCTCCAGCCCCTCCCCCAGATTGCTCAGAGACCCACGTCCTGAACTTGGCCGCTCGGGCAGCCATATTCTTGCGGGCCACCTTGGCGGATTGCTGACGTCAGTGCGGTACCTAAGCTGCGCGTCCACACAGCCTCGGGTGACTCCTTAGGACACCTTGGTGGCTGCGGAGGTGATGCACGAACCCACTTGCGCTGGGAAACGTTCGATATCCCGCAATGTGTATTGCGATCCCTCCTCTAGATCTGATACATGTGACACCACTCACTCTCCGCCGCCGAAATGAAGTGCGACCATTCATTCGACAAGTCGGCGATCCCGCCTGACCCGTCAAGCAGAGACTCTGTGACGCTCCCAGATCAAATCATGGTCAAACGCTGAGCACCCGAGCGGACGCTCTACTGGAAACGGCCTGAGCACTGGCAAGATGCGGATCCACGGCTGGCCCGTGACGCTCTCAGAATTCAGCGAGACCGCCGAGCGCGGGCCCATCGGCAGATCAGGCTCGATCTGCACACTCTTTGGGATCAAGTCCTCGGACACGATGGAAAAATCCGTGACCCAGCACCCTGGCGCGCACGCGCCCACGGTGAACGCCCAGATAGCCGTGTCAATAACACTTCAGAACTCCTGCCTTCTCGATCTCGGCAGGCGTAGCGTTGAAGTCCCCGCCCAAGATGAGTGGCTTGCCAGTGCACTTCAGACGCTCCGACACGTCAAGCAGGATACTAACCACCATCGGGCGACAAGCCCCGCCCTGTGAAAAAGATACAAAGTCACCACCAGTACGCCGTGCTTCGCGAAACCCGAATGGCACACGACGGGCGCACGGCATGGTACAATGATATAACTTTGACCATGTTCCACGCATTCCATCCCGTGCATCATAGAAGCTAAAGTGAGCAGGCCCCCGACCCAGGGAAGCCAGGCTCTACCCCCACACAAGGCACAGAACAAGCATGCCAGCCGATACGAACTAGGGTCACCACTGCACTTTTACTCCTGACTTCGTCCAAGTGGCTCTCCAGCTCCAGAATGAAGTCTGCCCCTCCCACTCACCCCCTCCTCCTCCTTCTCCTCCTCCTCCACATCCGCCTCCTCCTCCTCTTCCTCCTCCTCCTCCTCTTCCTCCTCCTCCTCATCATCATCATACTCCTCCTCATTCCTCCTCCTCCTCCTCCTCCTCCTCCGCCTCCTCCTCCTCCTCCTCCTCGTGGTCCTGGTTCATGGTGGCCCGGGTCCCAGCGGGTGCTACCTCCGTCCTCCTCCTCCTCCTCCTCTTCCTCCTCCTCCTCCGCCTCCTCCTTCTCCTCCTCCTCTACGACAAGAAGAAGAATAAGAGAAGGCCATGGCATCTGGAAGATTTCACGATTCCAGCTATGACATCCACACACCCCGACACCTTCTGCGACGCCCCCGAAGGGTGACACACGAGTCCGCGGAGGCCACCTTTCCCGGCGGCACCTCTCGAGCCCGGTCGATCAGCGAGGGGCCTGGAGCCCGAGAGTGGGCGACGAGTGCCTGGCGTGAGCAAAAAAAATGCGACGCCCGAAACTTGAGATTGACATCGCCTGCAGGCAAGACTCGGCGGTGGACAAACATTCCTTCAGTAGACCTCCCCTCAGTAAAAACGGCCTGGGACAGAAACCGACGGACCTGGACCCGCAAAAATGATGGCTGCGACGCCCTCTCGCGAACCGAAAACGGCCAATTCCTGAATCGACGTGTCAGGGTAGGAGGTCTGTCCACCCCCGAAAGACTGGCCGTGGGCAGGAGGGGCCCTTGGCGCGCGGGCTTCGGGGCCCGCGGGGAGGTCACGTCCAAGCACTCGGGAGAGCCCCGCGGGCCCGCACCGGAGGTCACTCCCTGGTGCGTATGCTTTGAAGTCAGAGGCCCCCCCGCGAAGCAGCTCGGAACTGCCTTGGGAAACTATGTTTAAGTCGGGCCTGTCCCCCTACAGGGGGATTTTCGACGAAAAATAAAGAATACCCCGAAACTGATCAAAAAATAATCCAAAAATGGTCTGGGGACTATTGTTTGAGTATTTTTTAACCTTTTTGGAATATTTTTTATTTTTCGTCGAAAATCCCCCTGTAGGGGGACAGGCCCGACTTAAAACTATGCCTCGGTCCACACCCTCGCGTGGAGCATGCCCGCAGTGGTGCCACGCAGACCGCGCATGCAGTCCTGGCTGCGCCCACGCGTGGAGCCTTCGACTATCCCCGCGCCCCGGGCCCCCCTGCCACAGCGACGAGGTCCCCCGCCCCCGCGACTGAGTCCAGCCGAAGACGGACCCTCCTCCTCAGGCAGAACAACCCTTCGCCAGAGGGTCACTCTTACCTTCAAGTCGGGCCCGTCGTCCTACAGGGGGATTTTGCACGAAAATTAAAAAATATTCCAAAAATACCCCCAAATGGTCAAAAAATCTTGACAAATCGTCCCCGGACTATTTCTTGACTACTTTTGAGCATTCCTCCTGTAGAGGGACAGGCCCGACTTAATTCGGTGATCTTCTGAACCGGGTCAATCCAGACCCGGGTCAGTCAGGCCTTGCAGAATCCTGCAAGATCCTGCACCCTAACCCGGGTCAGTGCGAAGGATCCTGCAAGATCCTGCAGGACCCTGCACCCAAGCCCGGGTCAATGCGACCCTGCCCCTGCAGGATCCTGCGAGATCGGGCGCTCTGGCTGACCCCCGTTTGCTCTGACCCCCGTTTCAAGGCTCCCGATTAATCTGAAGGGGCCACAGGACACACAAATAAACACACACAAAAAATTACCCTGGCGACGTACCCAACCCCTGCGCAAACGCGGGTCGCAAATAGTTTAGGACACTTTATAAGGGGGGCGATGACGGAGCGAGGGTTACATATGTCTGCAGACGGAATTCGGGAGACTCGCAGGACACTGGCTTCAGGACAAGGACTAGATAAAGCTGATTAGTTGCAATCCCTGAGCGACCCTAGCCACTTCGAAAGCGGGGATCTCAGATCGCAAACCCCGAGGAATGGCGAGGTCTAATTTGGGTCCGCCCGTGGCGTCACTGTGCTGGGCCCCCCAGCGGGCCTCGAAAGTGGCGACAGTTTCACAGATCGCAGCCCCCCAGGGATGGCGAGGTCTAATTTGGGTCCGCCCGTGGCGTCACTGTGCTGGGCCCCCCAGCAGGCCGCGAAAGTGGCGACAGTTTCACAGATCGCAGCCCCCCAGGGATGGCGAGGTCTAATTTGGGTCGGCCCGCGGCGTCACTGTGCTGGGCCCCCCAGCAGGCCTCGAAAGTGGCGACAGTTTCACAGATCGCAGCCCCCCAGGGATGGCGAGGTCTAATTTGGGTCCGCCCGTGGCCCTCACTGTGCTGGGCCCCCAGCAGGCCTCGAAAGTGGCGACAGTTTCACAGATCGCAGACCCCCAGGATGGCGAGGTCAAATTCGGGTCCGCCCATTGCGTCACTGTGCTGGGCCCCCAAGCAGGCCTCGAAAGTGGCGACAATTTCACAGATCGCAGACCCCAGGATGGCGAGGTCTAATTTGAATCCGCGCCGGGCCCTCACTGTGCTGGGCCCCCCAGCAAGCCTTGAAAATGGCGACAGTTTCACAGATCGCAGCCCCCCCCCAGGGATGGCGAGGTCTAATTTGAATCCGCGCGGGGCCCTCGCTGTGCTGGGCCCCCCAGCAGGCCTCGAAAATGGCGACAGTTTCACAGATCGCAGCCCCCCCAGGGATGGCGAGGTCTAATTTGAATCCGCGCGGGGCCCTCACTGTGCTGGGCCCCCCAGCAGGCCTCGAAAATGGCGACAGTTTCACAGATCGCAGCCCCCCAGGGATGGCGAGGTCTATTTGAATCCGCGCGGGCCCTCACTGTGCTGGGCCCCCCAGCAGGCCTCGAAAATGGCGACAGTTTCACAGATCGCAGCCCCCCGCAGGCAAGACAGGAAGAGGCAGGGAGGGAGGAGGAGGAGGAAGGAGTGGAGACCACACTGCTCTATTCAAAACGAATACCCAACCAAGGAGGGTTGGGAAAAAGATATTCCCCATATTCTCTCATAGTTTTGGGTTTTTCTCTTCCCCACCACTTCCCATATTTTCCCATATTTTCTGGGAAATCGACGGCTAATTGTGTCTGTGTGTTTTTCCCCCTCCCGATTAATCTGAAGGGGCCACAGGACACACAAATAAATACACACAAATAAAAAGATACCCCATATTCTCTTATAGTTCTGGGTTTTTCTCTTCCCCACCACTTCCCATATTTCCCCATATTTTCTGGGAAATCGACGACTAATTGTGTCTGTGTGTGTTTCTCCCCCTCCCGATGAATCTCACCTGCAGCCGACCTCTGGGCCTGCGGCCGAGGGTTCCGGAGGGCGGCCCAGCTCGAGGAGGAGGAGGAAGAGGAAGAGGAGGAGGAGGAGGAGGAGGAGGAGGAGGAGGAGGAGGAGGAGGAGGAGGAGGAGGAGGAGGAGGAGGAGGAGGAGGAGGAGGAGAGAGAGGAGGAGTAGGAGGAGGAGGAGGAGGAGGTCTATCCACCCCCGAGCATTCCTGCTGTAGAGGGACAGGCCCGACTTAATCTCACCTGCAGCCGACCTCTGGGCCTGCGGCCGAGGGTTCCGGAGGGCGGCCCGGCTCGAGGGCAGCACGGGCCGCCGCGCCCGCCAGCTCCGCGCCGCGGCGGCCCCGGGCCCCGCGGGCCGGTCCTGGCCGCCAGGCTCCCCCAATTCCAAATTTCCATCCTCCCTGCTCCTCCTCCTCCTCCTCCTCCTCCTCCTTCTCCTCCTCCTCCTCCTCCTCCTCCTACTCCTCCTCCTCCGTTCTCCATCCTCCCTTCTCCTCCTCCGCTTCATCCCCCCTCCAATCACCATCATGGGCATAACAACGATCCTGATCATCATCAGCATCATCATCATCATCATCATCATCATCATCATCATCATCATCATCATCATCATCATCATCATCATCATCATCAACATCATCATCAGCATCAATATCATCATCATCATCAGCAGCAGCAGCATCATCATCACCACCACCACCATCATCATCATCATCATCATCATCACCATCATCATCAGCATCATGATCATCATCAGCATCATCAGCATCATCGGCATCATCAGCAGCATCAGCAACACCATCATTATCATTATATCGTCATCATCATCGTCATCATCAGCACTATCATCATCACCACCACCACCACCATCATCATCATCACCGTCACCTTGATCATAAAATCGACGGCATCGTCGTCGTCATTGTCATCATCAGCACCACCATCATCCGCATCATCATCACCATCATAATCATGATTGGCGTCGTCATCATCATCAACATCATCATCAGCGTGGCCACCACCACCACAATATTCAACATCATCATGGTAATCATAGTCAGCAGCATCATCATCCTTATCATCATCAGCACCATCATCATCATCATCATCATCATCATCATCATCCACATCATCATCATCATAATCATCATCATCGTCATCAGCATCAGCATCATCATCATCACAACCACCACCACAATCATCAATATCATCAGCAGCATTGACATCATCAGCATCATTATCATCGTCATCATAAGCATCATCATCATCATCATCATCATCATCATCATCATCGTTATCGTTATCGTCATCGTCATCGTCATTGTCATCATCATTATCATCATCACCACCACCGCCACCATCATCGTCATCGTCATCATCATCGACATCGTCATCGTCTTCATCGCAATCGTCACCGTCATAGTTACCATCGTCATCATCATCACCAGCATCATCTTCATTATCAGCATCGCAATCCCGGAAGTCATTCTCAGAATCATCATCGCAAGTGCCACCACCATTATCATCATCATCATCATCGTCATCGTCATGGTCTTTAAGCATCATCATCGCCATTATCATCGACATCACCATCTCTATCTTTATCATCATCATCGTCACCGCCATAGTCGGCATCATCATCAGCAGCAGCATGATCGTCATCATCATCATCATCAGCATCATCATCACCGCCATCGTTGTAACCGTCATAAGAGAATAATCATCGTCATCAGCATCATCACCATCGTCACCATCATCATCATCATCATCATCATCATCATCATCATCATCATCATCATCATCATCATCATTGGCACAAATTATCATCGTCATCATCACCATAAGCATCATCATCTTCATCCTCATCATCATCATCGTCATCATCATCGTCATCATCATCAACTTCATCGTCATCATCATCGTCATCATCATCGCAATCGTCATCGTCGTAGTCATCATCATCAGAATCAACACTCTGAGCAGCATCGGCATCATCGCCATCACCCTTCATTATCCTCAACACCCTTCATCGCCATCATCGCCCGCGTCGTCATCATCAACATCATCAGCAGCAGCATCATCAACACCATCATTATAATCACAATCATCATCATCACCAGCAGCATCATCGACATCATCGTCATGATCATCATCAACATCGTCAGCAGCATCATCATCAGCATCATCATCCTTATAGTCATCATCACCACGAGGATGATCATCATCATCACCATCATCAGCACACCCACCACTATCATCACCATCAGCATCATGAGCATCGCCAACAACATCTTATGAATATTCTCCCTCATTAACAACATCGTCATCGCCGGCATCCTTGTCATTACCATCATCAGCAGCAGCAGCAGCATCCGCATCAGCATCAGCATCAGCATCAGCATCATCATCAGCATCAGCATCATCATCATCAGCATCAGCATCATCATCAGATCCATCATACTCATCAGCATCACTATTAGCGATTGCATCATCATCCTAACCATGATGATCATCATCGGCACACACATCGCTATCCTCACGTGCATCTTCACAACCATGGTCAGAGTACATCTCGTAATCGTCGCATTCCTCCTCCCCCTCCTCCCTCCCCCCTCCTCCTTCCTCCCTCCCTCCCTCGGGTCGGGCGAAAGGGGGGGATAGCAAAGGGGGGCGGTGAGAATCAGCTCATGTAGCTGATTTCCCCGGCGCCTCCCAGCGCCGGAGGCGGCTATGTATCGAGAAAGGGGCCCCTCGGTGAGGCCGAAACCAGCCGCATGCAGCAAAGTTCGTACCCCCCCTTTCCCAATCCCCCCCTTTCGTCCGGCCCTCCCTCCCTCCCATCCTCTCCCTCCCCCACTGGAGAGGCTCCTTCCGGCCCAACTCCGGGGCGGCCGGCGCCGCGCCGGGCTCGGGGGGCTCGGGCGGCTCGGGGGGGTCGGGGCCGAGCAGCTCCTGGTGCCTGGCGCGGGGCGGCCCGCGGGCGCGGGCCTCCCACGCATCGAAGAAATCGCTGCCAGAGTGGACCCCAAACATCAGCGGCTGCTCCTCCTCCTGCTCCTCCTCCTCCTCCTCCTCCCCCTCCTCCTCCCCCTCCTCCTCCTCCTCCTCTCCTCCTCCTCCTCCTCTCCTCCTCCTCCTCCTCCTCCCCCTCCGCCTCCCCCTCCCCCTCCTCCTCCCGCTCCCCCGCCTCCGCTGCCAGAGTGGACCCCAAAAATGGCCTTGCAGACGTGCTGCAGCGGACTCTTGCGCGGAGCTCTGCGTGGATGTCTTCCCGAAGCGGCGCGCGACACACGAAGGGAATGTCGCGTGGCTTTTTGCTGCTGTTGGTCTTCATGCCCGGCCAAGCAAGGTCCGCACGAAATTCGCATCGAAATCCGGAACGGGATTCTGCAGGACACCCCGGGCCCACCCATGTCGGTTTCCGGAGGAAGTCCGCTCTGCGATGTTGGCGCCGTGACAAACAGGAAGCTGTGGCACCCTGGGCGTGCAAGCTACGCGATGCACACGCGTCTCTGCGGTCATCCCTCGAAGAGCAGGTATGCATCCTCGGGACATCCCCCGCGAGCGGGAACGCGCGGCAACGGGCCGGAGCATGGCGACTCCGCGGGGCATCCCCACAGGCTGCAAGGGGCGGCAGTGGGGCGGCATCAGGCCGAAACGTGGCGAACCCTCGAGACACCCATCCAATCCCTTGGAAAGACAGTTGGGAACCCAGAATGCAGGTGCTGTTTGAGGAAACAATCCGTCCTCCTCCTCCTCCTCCTCCTCCTCCTCCTCCATCTCCTCCTCCTCCTCCTCCATCTCCTCCTCCGCCTCATCCTCATCCTCCTCCTCCGCCTCCCCTCCTCCTCCTCCTCCTCCTCCTCCTCCTCGCCCCGTTGTCCTTGTCCTCCTCCCTCCTCCTCCTCCTCCTCCTCCTCTCCTCCTCCTCCTCCTCCTCCTCCTCCTCCTCCCCTCCTCCTCCTCCTCTCCTCCTCCTCCTCCTCCTCCTCTCCTCCTCCTCCTCCTCCTCTCCTCCTCCTCCTCCTCCTCCTCCTCCTCCTCCCTGCCTCCCTCCCTCCCTCCTCCCTCCCTCCCTCCTCCTCCGTGCGCTGCGCCGTCGGCCGCGCCTCGCGACCAGCTCCCCGTGAGTGCCGAGGAACGCCCCGAGCACGAGCGGCCTGCACACGATCAGCTCGCTGCCCGCCTCGGGCCGACGCGGGGCGGCCGGCTGGCGAGGGGGGTGATGCTCTCTGAAGTACAGCCGGTTCGCGTCGTGACGACCCTGGCGTTGGTTCCTGACAGCGCGTGAATCTCGGCGGCGAGCGAGGGGGGAAAGTGAGAAGGAGAAGGCCTTCTCAAAAGGCGGCGGGACTTCTCAAAAACCCTCGCGCTTTCTGGGAAGTTGTTTGTGTCTTCGGGGAAGGCTTCGAAAGCGTCTCAGCAGTGCGGGGGACTTCCGAGAGAAGGCCCGCCCTCTCTCACTTCCCCCCCTCGCTCGCCGCCGAGAATCGTTCAACCTTGAATTCGTATGCGACGATCTAGCTGTTCGGCCAAGGGCTGAAATGAGTAGACCCGGTCGAGCCTGGATCTCGAGATGGCGTTTTCCTGCGTCATTGTTGAGACATAAACGACAAGCACAGGCACAGGTGTTCCTCCGTTTTTCGATTTTGCCATGTGCAAACACATGCTTGTCCTATGTCTTATGTTTCTCCTGTGTTCCTGGGGGGCTTTCACGGCCCCCACGGCGCTGCCTCCGGAAATCGCTTACAGCTCAAATCCCGTTGCAAACTGAAACCAGTGTGATTTCACTTGTGGGGATTTACAGATTGAATGTGTTTGTAGCGCTTGTCCAAACGAATGCTCATTACGGGGGCGCCACGGAACTTCTACGCTACAAATGGGTCCGGAAATCTGCTTCTCCCGGAATCGACGAGCTAATCAGTTTAGCTGTACCCACGATGTGTACATATGCCGCAAACGCTACATGTCTGTGAAAATACAGAAAACACCTGCAGGCGGATCCTACGGATCCCCCACCCCGTCGCACCAGACAGACGCGCGCACACCCCATCCATCGGACACGATCTCTCGCAAAAAGCAATGGATCTGGGCTCCCGAGGTCACGATCCCCCGTGAATCATCCTGGCGAAGACCCAACCATATGCAGTTGTGGGTAACAGTGGGTGACGCGTTGTGGGTACCGCTTTCGGTGGAGATCCCTATGGGGCCACGAAGCGCGGTGTGTGCCACACTGGGCGGGGAAACGGCACGCGGCCGGGGCCACCAGTGCCTTGGCTGGAGCTCCCTATGGGGTCACGCCACGCGAGCTGCGCCACTGGGACCTTCGGTGGAGCTCCCGATGGGGCCACGGAACGGTCTGCTGGCTGCGGGAGACGCGTGCGGGCTGTGGTGGGGCCCCCTATGGGGTCACGAAACACTGTATTGGGCGGAGGAGGCGCATGCGGGCTGGCTGCGCCACTGGTGCCTTGGCTGGAGCTCCCTGTGCGGCCCCAGAACGGTGCACGGGCTGGGGGAGACGCATACGGGCTGCGCCACTTGGACCTTCGGTGGAGCCCCCTATGGTGCCACGAAGCTCTGTAATAGGTGGATGAGCCGCATGTGGACCCTGCCACTGGGGCCGTCGGAGGATCTCCCTGTGGTGCCACGAAACGTTGTAACGGGTGGGGGATCCGCATGTGGGCCCTGCCACTGTGGCCTGGGGTGGAGCTTCCTATGAGGCCACGAAACACCGTACTGGGCGGGGGAGCCGCATGTGGACCCTGCATGTGGCCTTGGGTGGACCTCCCTATGGGGCCACGAAGCGCTATACTGCGTGGGGGATCCGTACTTGGACTCTGCTGCTATAGCCTTTGGTGGAGCTCCTCCTCCTCCTCCTCCTCCTCCTCCTCCTCCTCCTCCTCCTCCTCCTCCTCCTCCCCACCGCGGCGCGGACGAAGACGAGGTCGGGATCACGACCTGCCCCGATGCAGACCACTCGTCGGAATTGCACCGTTTCTACACTCAGCCTCCTTCCTGCTGCGCTGTTGCACAGGCACGGTGGCGGGGTTTGCCGCAGGCAGCTGGGCAACTCCTCCATGTCGCACCCCGAGGCCCGTCGAAAGGGCGGGCCCGGCGTTTCGCCTGAGACTTCCTCACCCATGATGATCCTGAAGCTTAAAAGTGGCAAGAGGTTCGGATGGAGGGCGGGTCGTTTCTAAAATGTGGCTCTCGCCTGAGCGCCGAGCACCTCTTTTTCAAAGAATGCAAGAATTTCACGAATGGAGGTCAGGTCGTTTTCAAAATGTAGCTCTCGCCTGAGCGCCACGCACATTCGCCTCTAAACTTTGCAAGAGGCTCACGGACCGAGGGCGAGCCGCTGTTTTAACGTGGCTCTCCTCTGAGCGCCGCGCACATTCGGATTCAAAAACTGCAGAAGTTCACGGACAGAGGGCAAATCGTTGTTCTCACGTGGCTCTCGCCTGGGCGCCGCGCAGCCTTCGCCGTCAAACTTCGCAGGAGGCTCACGGACCGAGGGCGGGCCGTTGCTTCAACGTGGCTCTCGCCTGGGCGCGCCGCGCACACTCGCCTACAAAAAAACACATAAAACAGTTTTAAAAAACTGTATATATATATATATATATATGTGTATATATATATATAATGCAGAGGTTCCTCGATGGAGGGCGAGTCGTGCGCTCCCCATCACGTGGCTCTCGCCTGCGCCCCCCCCCCCCGCGCGCGCTCGTGCCCGAAAAACGCCGCAGGAGAGCTCCACGGGCGGAGGGGCGGCGCCTCCTCCCCAAGAGGTGTGTGGGGCGGGGCTCTCACACCGTCGCGCCGGCCGCGCGCTCGCTTCCCCGACGGCTCGCTTTTCCGACGGCCTCGCGCGTCGCTTCCGAGGTGTGTGGGGCGGGGCTCTCACACCGTCGCGCCGGCCGCGCGCTCGCTTCCCCGACGGCTCGCTCTTCCGACGGCCTCTCGAGGCGTCCCGTGCCTGGCGCGCCCCCCACGCGGCGCCGTGTGGCACCGCCTCGGACTGCCGGGCGCGGCAGCCGTGCGGCCTCGCCCTGCTCGCCCTCCTCCTCCTCCTCCTCCTCCTCCTCCTCCTCCTCCTCCTCCTCATCCTCCTCGCCCTCCTCCTCCTCCTCCTCCTCGCCCTCCTCCTCCTCCTCGCCCTATTCGCCCTCCTCCTCCTCCTCCTCCTCCTCCTCCTCCTCCTCGCCCTCCTCATCCTCCTCCTCGCCCTCCTCATCCTCCTGGCCCAAGATAGGGCTGGCAGGCCCGTGCTTTCAGGATGCGGCTCTCGCCTCCGCGCCGCAGTCAGGACTGCCAGGGCGCAGCAGTCAGAGGAAAGCCCCACGAACTTCGGGGAACAAAGAGTGGCATAAGCATAAAAAAGCTGTGCTCCGGCGCGGCTCGGGCTCACCGAGGCGCAGCAGTGACGGTGACTCACGGCGCTGCAGGACCCCAGGAGCGGTGTTCTGGCACAGTTCAGCGATCCAGTTGCTTCCCAACGGGGCACTTCCTTCAGCGAAAGTGGATCCGTGCATGGGGCCTATGAGGCAGGAACTTGGAGGGACGAGTTATTGCAATATCGTTGACGAGTCTTCGGCTTGCAAAGGTCCTCATCTTCCTCCTGCTCAACTCCTCGGCCCAAGTCTCCCAGACCATTTTGGCTCACTGAACGATGGGAGCTTGCGGCCGCACCTGCGCGCGCACCGGCCGGGCTGCTGTCGCTTAAGCTGCATCGGACCAGGGCTCGCGGCTTGAGGGGGAAGTCAGGTGATATGCAGAAGTCGCTGGTGGACAAGCATCGGTGTGCACTTGTTGGACTCGCTGCAGCTCTTCATCCGTGTATCGAGGGGCCCAAGGAGTAGCTCAGCAGGGCAACAGCGTTGGGAACCAGGCATCATAAGCTATGGTGCTAGTATATCCCACCGCCAGAGGGAAGGGTACAGGTTTTTTCGGGGGGGGGCTTAGTGACGGACGGCATGGATGCTGTCTGGCTTCCCTGTCCTGCACCGGTAAGCTCCGCCCCGGGTCGTAGGCTGAGTAGACTCCGAGCCAATCTAAACCCTCCCACCGGCGACCTGGACGCATTTCAATCAAACAGCTGTTCGACGAGTTGGGCCTGGAAAAAGGGGAGTTGCAGTTGCCTCTCGGCCAAACTCAACGTGCATGTTGCGAACTTCCTGTAAGTGGTTTCAAAACTCTGGGATGTGCTCACGCATTGCTCTCCACACTGCAGGGGGAACATTGCACAACGATTCAAGACCCAAACGGTGGCAAGAGTCCGCGGGTGCAGCTGCGATTGACAGGCCCGCTCCCACCAGCACGGTCAGGGACGAGCTAAGTTGAGCATGATGCGAGTTGGTGCACACGGGAGGTGATATCAGCCACAGTGCATCGGACGCGTTCCAAACGAATGCCGAGGCAGGGTAAGCAGATGCGGCGGTGGACCGACATTACACGGTGCCCCGTCAAACCGCAATCCACTCGCCCCTCACGGCACCCGGGAGGAAGAGGAAGGGAACGAAAAGGAGCAAGGAGGAAAAACAGGAAAACAGGAGGAGAGGAGAGGCGCCGACGACGGGAAAACTAAGGATGACGAGGAAAAAGAAAGACGAGGAAAATGGATCGAGAGAGATGCAACCCCGCGATCGCAGGAACGAGGACGAGGGGCAGGGAAGGGAGGAGGACGCGAAGGCATGTCGGGAATCTGCTGCACGCAAGAGTTGTTGTTATATATATATATACACACGCATACACAAACATGTATTAGTAGTAGTAGTAGTAGTAGTAGTAGTAGTAGTAGTAGTAGTAGTAGTAGTAGTAGTAGTAGTAGTAGTAGTAGTAGTAGTAGTAGTAGTAGTAGTAGTAGTAGTAGTAGTAGTAGTAGTAGTAGTAGTAGTAGTAGTAGTCGTAGTCGTAGTAGTCGTAGTAGTAGTCGTAGTAGTAGTAGTAGTAGTAGTAGTAGTAGTAGTAGTAGTAGTAGTAGTAGTAGTAGTAGTAGTAGTAGTAGTAGTAGTAGTAGTAGTAGTAGTAGTAGTAGCAGTAGTAGTAGTAGTAGTAGATGTAGTAGTAGTAGTAGTAAAAATTGTAGTAGCAGTAGTAGTAGTAGCAGTAGTAGTAGTAGTAGTCGTAGTAGTCATAGTAGTAGTAGCACTGGTGGTCGTAGTACTAGTAGTAGTAGTAGTAGTAGTAGTAGTAGTAGTAGCAGTAGTCGTAGTAGTAGTAGTAGTAGCAGCAGCAGTAGTAGTAGTAGTAGTAGTGGAAGAACTAGTAGTAGTAGTAGTAGTAGTAGTAGTAGTAGTAGTCGTAGTAGTAGTAGTAGTAGTAATTCTAGTAGTAGTAGTAGTAGTAGTAGTAGTAGTAGTAGTAATAGTAGTAATTGTAGTAGTAGTAGTAGTAGTAGTAGCAGCAGTCGTAGTAGTAGTAGTACGAGTCGTAGCAGTAGTAGTAGTTGCTGTAGTAGTAGTAGGAGGAGGAGTAGGAGCAGGAGTAGCAGAAGTAGAAGTAGTATAAGTAGTATTAGCACTAATAGTAGTAGTAGTAGTAGTACTACTACTAGTTGTAGTAATACTAGTGACGATAGTAGTCGCAGTAGTCGTCGTACTTAACAGTAGTAGTAGTAGTAGTAGTAGTAGCAGCAGTAGTAGTGGTAGTAGTCAAAAAAGTAACAGGAGCAGTAGTAATAATAATAGTACGAATAAAAATAACAATAATAATAGTAGTAGCAGTAATAGTACTAGCAGCAGAAGTAGTAGTAGCCGTCGTCGCAGTAGTAGTAGTAGTAATAGTAGTAGTAATAGTAATAGTAGTAGTATTAGTAGTAGTAGTAGTAGTAGTAGTAGTAGCGGTAGTAGTAACAGCAGCAGTAGTAGTAGCAGTAGTAGAAATAATAGTTGTAGGTAAAAGTTGTAGTCGTCGCAGTAGTAGTAGTAGTAGTAGTAGTAGTAGTAGTAGTAGTAGTAGTAGTAGTAGTAGTAGTAGTAGTAGTAGTAGTAGTAGTAGTAGTAGTGGTAGTAGTAGTAGTAGTAGTAGTACTACTACTACTAGTAGGAGGAGTAGGAGTAGGAGTAATAATAGTAGTTGTTGTTGCTGTACGGGTAGGAGTAGGAGTAGGAGTAGGAGTCAAGCTAGCCAGCTCGAGCGAGTCAAGCATGGCATGCCCAGTCCCACCCGCCCTCCCACAACATAAGAAGCAAAGCTGGCACAACTGGGGGCCGAAGTCACACCGGCCAGCCGGTTTGGTACAGCTGATGCGGCCGCGATGGCGGTTGCCGACGGGAACTGGCGAGCGCGTGTTGAATGCCGCGCACGCATTGCCAGACGAGTCGAGAATGGCCCGGTACACCGCAGGAAGCCAGAGGTGGCCGGAGGAAGCCCGACGGTCTGACAGGACACCCCAAAGCATTTTTGTGAAAAAGCATTGGGTTTTTGATGTTTTTATGTTGAAATGCTTGCAAACACACGGTGTTCGGTAGGATTCTGACATGAACGCGCGAGTGTGCTCTTTGTGGTATTTTTTGCACAGGATTCGCGGCCTGGGTGCATGACAGAGCATCGCGAGTGCACCGCGCGATGACGTGAAATCGCTGGATTTGACAGAATTCTTAAGATTCCTATGGTTTTCCTATGATTTCAGCAAGAGAGCCCGGGCGGGAAATTTGTACAATTTTTGTGAAAAAGCATTGGGTTTTTGATGTTTTTATGTTGAAATGCTTGCAAACACACGGTGTTCGGTAGGATTCTGACATGAACGCGCGCGTGTGCTCTTTGTGGTATTTTTTGCAATGGATTATCGCCGTGGACGACAGGACGTCCATGTCGAGAGGAAAAAATAAGAAAAATGTTGATTTTGTATTGTTTTTTACAGGTTAGGATGGGACCACCCGGATGCGCCCGCTATCTGCCGGCCTGAGGGGGGAGTAGGAGTATATTCTAATAAGGAATAAGGATAGGAGTAGAGGTAGGAGTAGGAGTAGGAGTAAGAGTAGGAGTAGGAGTAGGAGTCAAGCTAGCCAGCTCGAGCGAGTCAAGCATGGCATGCCCAGTCCCACCCGCCCTCCCACAACATAAGAAGCAAAGCTGGCACAACTGGGGGCCGAAGTCACACCGGCCAGCCGGTTTGGTACAGCTGATGCGGCCGCGATGGCGGTTGCCGACGGGAACTGGCGAGCGCGTGTTGAATGCCGCGCACGCATTGCCAGACGAGTCGAGAATGGCCCGGTACACCGCAGGAAGCCAGAGGTGGCCGGAGGAAGCCCGACGGTCTGACAGGACACCCCAAAGCATTTTTGTGAAAAAGCATTGGGTTTTTGATGTTTTTATGTTGAAATGCTTGCAAACACACGGTGTTCGGTAGGATTCTGACATGAACGCGCGAGTGTGCTCTTTGTGGTTTTTTTTGCAGAGGATTCGCGGCCTGGGTGCATGACAGAGCATCGCGAGTGCACCGCGCGATGACGTGAAATCGCGTTATTTGCCTGAATTCTTAAGATTCCGATGGTTTTCCTATGATTTCAGCAAGAGAGCCCGGGCGGGAAATTTATACAATTTTTGTGAAAAAAAAGCATTGGGTTTTTGATGTTTTTATGTTGAAATGCTTGCAAACACACGGTGTTCGGTAGGATTCTGACATGAACGCGCGCGTGTGCTCTTTGTGGTATTTTTTGCAATGGATTATCGCCGTGGACGACAGGACGTCCATGTCGAGAGGAAAAAATATGAAAAATGTTGATTTTGTATTGTTTTTTACAGGTTAGGATGGGACCACCCGGATGCGGCCCCTATCGGCCGGCCTGAGGGGGGAGTAGGAGTATATTCTAATAAGGAATAAGGATAGGAGTAGGAGTAGGAGTCAAGCTAGCCAGCTCGAGCGAGTCAAGCATGGCATGCCCAGTCCCACCCGCCCTCCCACAACATAAGAAGCAAAGCTGGCACAACTGGGGGCCGAAGTCACACCGGCCAGCCGGTTTGGTACAGCTGATGCGGCCGCGATGGCGGTTGCCGACGGGAACTGGCGAGCGCGTGTTGAATGCCGCGCACGCATTGCCAGACGAGTCGAGAATGGCCCGGTACACCGCAGGAAGCCAGAGGTGGCCGGAGGAAGCCCGACGGTCTGACAGGACACCCCAAAGCATTTTTGTGAAAAAGCATTGGGTTTTTGATGTTTTTATGTTGAAATGCTTGCAAACACACGGTGTTCGGTAGGATTCTGACATGAACGCGCGAGTGTGCTCTTTGTGGTTTTTTTTGCACAGGATTCGCGGCCTGGGTGCATGACAGAGCATCGCGAGTGCACCGCGCGATGACGTGAAATCGCTGGATTTGACAGAATTCTTAAGATTCCTATGGTTTTCCTATGATTTCAGCAAGAGAGCCCGGGCGGGAAATTTGCACAATTTTTGTGAAAAAAAACATTGGGTTTTTGATGTTTTTATGTTGAAATGCTTGCAAACACACGGTGTTCGGTAGGATTCTGACATGAACGCGCGCGTGTGCTCTTTGTGGTATTTTTTGCAATGGATTATCGCCGTGGACGACAGGACGTCCATGTCGAGAGGAAAAAATAAGAAAAATGTTGATTTTGTATCGTTTTTTACAGGTTAGGATGGGACCCCCCGGATGCGGCCCCTAATGGCCGGCCTGAGGGGGGAGTAGGAGTATATTCTAATAAGGAATAAGGATAGGAGTAGGAGTAGGAGTCAAGCTAGCCAGCTCGAGCGAGTCAAGCATGGCATGCCCAGTCCCACCCGCCCTCCCACAACATAAGAAGCAAAGCTGGCACAACTGGGGGCCGAAGTCACACCGGCCAGCCGGTTTGGTACAGCTGATGCGGCCGCGATGGCGGTTGCCGACGGGAACTGGCGAGCGCGTGTTGAATGCCGCGCGCGCATTGCCAGACGAGTCGAGAATGGCCCGGTACACCGCAGGAAGCCAGAGGTGGCCGGAGGAAGCCCGACGGTCTGACAGGACACCCCAAAGCATTTTTGTGAAAAAGCATTGGGTTTTTGATGTTTTTATGTTGAAATGCTTGCAAACACACGGTGTTCGGTAGGATTCTGACATGAACGCGCGAGTGTGCTCTTTGTGGTATTTTTTGCACAGGATTCGCGGCCTGGGTGCATGACAGAGCATCGCGAGTGCACCGCGCGATGACGTGAAATCGCTGGATTTGACAGAACTCTTAAGATTCCTATGGTTTTCCTATGATTTCAGCAAGAGAGCCCGGGCGGGAAATTTGTACAATTTTTGTGAAAAAAAGCATTGGGTTTTTGATGTTTTTATGTTGAAATGCTTGCAAACACAAGGTGTTCGGTAGGATTCTGACATGAACGCGCGCGTGTGCTCTTTGGGTGTTTTTTGCAATGGACTATCGCCGTGGACGACAGGACGTCCATGTCGAGAGGAAAAAATAAGAAACATGTTGATTTTATATTGTTTTTTACAGGATAGGATGGGACCCCCCGGATGCGGCCCCTAATGGCCGGCCTGAGGGTAGAAGTAGGAGTCAAGCTAGCCAGCTCGAGCGAGTCAAGCATGGCATGCCCAGTCCCACCCGCCCTCCCACAACATAAGAAGCAAAGCTGGCACAACTGGGGGCCGAAGTCACACCGGCCAGCCGGTTTGGTACAGCTGATGCGGCCGCGATGGCGGTTGCCGACGGGAACTGGCGAGCGCGTGTTGAATGCCGCGCACGCATTGCCAGACGAGTCGAGAATGGCCCGGTACACCGCAGGAAGCCAGAGGTGGCCGGAGGAAGCCCGACG